TTCAGAAGGCCTCGTGGAAGGCTTGGCTCCAGGGTGCGCTCCTCAGGTCTGCGGGGCCGGCCCACCGTTTGCTTGAGCCCTCCCTGGACCCCCTGGCGGCCGAAAAGATCGGTGAGGATGGGCCCTGCTCAGCCCTGGATCAGCTTTTAGATTTTGAAGCAGCCGCTTGGACGGCCATCTGGCAACAGCACGATAAGGTTGAAGCGAGGGCTGCGTTGGCTGCCCTGCGTAAGCGTGCTCGGTCGCCCCCGCGTTTGCCACCCATTGACCTTCACACCCTCAATCGTGCGCTCAAGTCGATGCCTGACTCCAGGGGTCAGGGTTTGGATTTTATTGAGCCGCGTTCAATTAAGGAGGCTAGCGAAGATGCCAAGACCCACCTAATACAGCTACTCGACTCCATTGAGGAGCAGTGCACTTTGCCTTTCCAGCAGCTCTTTGCGCTGATCGCCCTCTTTCCGAAGCCTGACGGGGGGAAAAGGCCCATTGCGCTGCTCGGCTTTGTTTACACTCTCCTTTTGCGCATCAGGAAGCCATTCATCACGGCCTGGGACCGTGAGGCGCACGGCCCCTGGGACGAGACCGTTGGTGGTTCGGCTGATGCTGCCGGTTGGCTCGACGAGCTCGAAATGGAACTCGCCCTCCACAGCGGTTTTCAGGTCGGGGGCCTTTTGCTTGACATGAAGAAGTAGTATGACCAAGTCTGTCTTCGAGACTTGGTGGAAGCTGCCTGCCAATTAGATTACCCACTCCGTCTGTTGGCCCTGGCCATTGACCTGTACTTGGGGGTTCGGCATTTGTCGTTGGAGGGCGCTGTTCATCCTGGGATCCTGGCTCATGGGGGTATGTTGGCTGGCTGTGGCCAGGCCACCTCCCTCGCTCGTGCCCATTTGCACCAACCCCTTACAGGAGCCAATGGATCGGTTGGTGGTCTGCGGCTGCGGGAGTGGGTTGATGACATCTCAGCTCGCCTTTTCGGCGCGCATTCCTCCATCGCTGCCACCTTTCCCATCCTGCTGCGTGCCCTCCTCACTGGCCTCAGGAGGCGTCGCTGTCAGTTGTCCCTGGATAAGTCCCATCTGCTGGCGTCTTCGCCAGGCCTTCGGGCTGAGCTTTCCAGGATTGCTGTCCGTGAGGGCTGCGAGTTCTCGATGGCTCTGGCTGCCAGGGACTTGGGGCACGACACCGCCTTGGGCGCCAGGAGGACTGTGGCCGTCAGGAAGACCCGCTTTTCCAAGGGGCGCGATGCCACTAGTAAGATTTTTGGTTTTGGGCGCACTTGCAGGCAGGCCAGTAAGTTGTTCTATCCTAATGCATATGCGAAGGCCATGTGGGCGCCTGAGATCCACGGCGTCTCCCCCTCCATGCTCAAAGGCCTTCGCAGCATGGCCCGTGCGGCCAGCAAGACCCCTCAGCGAGGAGCGTGTGCCACTACAGCCATCCGCCTCACTTTCGGCTATGGCCAGGACCCCCTCCAGGTCTACGTCCGTCGTGTTGTCAAGTCGTGGTTTGCTCGCTTGGCGTGGCGTCCTGGTCTCCACCATCGTTTGGCCCGACACTGGGCGGCTTCTTTGGCCAAGGTCCGAAAAGGGTGGGCCTGGGTCCGTGGGCCGATGGCTGCTTTTCAAGCCACGATTTTGTCTGTAGGATGGCAATGCCCCTCACCTTTCACTCTCATTGCGCCTTGCGGTGATGAGTGGCAGATGACGGAAGACGGGCATGGCCCTCTAGGCCCTCTCCTTGAGGCCTTTTGATGAATCGATCGACACGCTTCAGTGGCGCCAGGCTTCAGAGTGGCTGGATGGCGCTGGGATCCAGGGTTCTGTCTCCCTACATCACGTCTGGGACCTTGTTGCCTCCCTCGATAAGGACGGGCGTCGGGACCTCGCGGCTATGATTCGGCTCTTGGTCTCTGGAGGCTACTGGACCGAGGAGAGAAGGCACAATGCCCAGTTGGCTCCTGACCCTATATGTCGGCGTTGCCAGCGGGACCCCGAGACCTCCTGCCACAGGTTTTGGGGATGCATGTGCAATGCATCGTCGCAGGACCAGGAGGTTGTCGACACTCAGCATCTTAGGCACAGCGCGCTGCAAGAAGCTTTACAGTCTCCGTGCTTCTGGACTCGAGGACTTATTCCCCTTTCTTGGTTTAACCTCCCCCCTGTTCCTGGTTCCAGGGAGCTCCAGGGGCGGCGTTGTCCTGGGGCCTTGTCTCCAGGCTGTCTGCCAGGAGGTCTTTATGCCACAGACGGCACTGGTGGCCAGTTTGCCAGGTTTCCTGTCCTCCGTCGAGTTGCTTTTGCCTTTGTGCGGCTCCGTCGTAGCGATGGCTTCGACTGGGATTGTGGAGTCACAGGTGTGCTCGACTCGGTTCGGCAGACGGTACCCCGCGCAGAGCTTGCGGCTATTGTTGAGTGCCTTCGGTGCGTTGATCCTGCCCAAGATCTGCGCGTGGTCACCGGCCATGCCATGTCGTCAAAGGTTTCCAGGCTGGCCGAGCGGCCTCTGCTAGGCTGGCAAATTTTGATCTCTGGTGGCATTTTGGCAGCTCCTCTCGGAGCGATCTGGTCATTTCCAGGTTTCTCATGTTCCCAGCCACCTGCTGGACGACGCCCAAAAGCTCGCCCGTTTTGGCGACTCTGTAGACTGGGACCATGTTGTGCTTAACTCTGTCGCGGACGAGCTCGCTAACTTGCGTGCTCTTGAATGCCAGGTTCCTGATGGAGTTGTGCAGACTTATAACGAGCTCGTTGCCAATGCCTGTGCCATCCTCAAGCGCAATGCCTCTATCATCCTCGAGTGTGCTGCCCTCAGGGCTGATCCTGAGCGCAGGTTGCGCAAGCAGCCCATCGATCTTGTGCTCCGCAGGCGTCGGTGGATCGAAGCCGATGTTAGGTGTTCGTCGCACGTTTGGGAGTTTGTGTGTGGCTTCTGGACGTGTGGCATGTGCAAGGCCTCGATCTCCGACGCTGCCCCATCGCTCCGCGCGAGACTCCGCTCTGCTTGCCCTGCCTATGGAGGTGGTGGAGTTGGGAGTCTGGTTTCGGTGGTGGCGGAGGAGGTTCCTGTCAAAAAGTGGGTGAGGCCAGGTCGGGCCCTGGCCGCCGGGGATGTTTCCCTCTGGCGCCGCCTGAGGCTCGATCCGCCCCCCCGAGCGAGCTGAGCCATGGGTCGCTGGCAAGGCGGTCCATCCTTCGCACGTTCTGTGGCAGAAAGGTGATTTCACCTTTTGCGGTGAATGCGGCTCCTGGGCAATAGTTCGCCCTGATTCCTTGCGGGAGCCCTGTCCTGTGGCCGCTTTTGGCCCGCATGCCATTATTAAGCACCAGCTCGAGGTTTTACAGCGGATTTGCAAGGGCCTCCCGCCTTCCAAGACCTCCAAGAGCTGGGTTGCGTGATTTTCTTTTCCCTGCCAGGCAACCCCTGCATCTCTTGCACTTTGGAGGTTGGTTGGCAGCTTCTTGACCGTCCTGGAACAATCCTCCTGCAGATCCTCCTCCTCGTCCTCCTCCTCGTCCTCCTCCTCCTCCTCCTCCTCCCTCTCCTCCTCCTCCTCCTCCTCCTCCTCCTCTTCTTGGGCGGTAACGCACAAGTCCCTTATAGTGGCCCAGAGGAGGCTGGACGCCTCCGATGGCTGTCCAGACGGCCCCAGACGCCCCTGGGGCTGGCCCAAGACCACCCAGAAGGCGTCTGGGCCGCCTTTGGGAAACTTCGGAGACTGTTTCAGGCGTCGCAAATATGGATCAGGGCGCGTGGATTCGACGGATTCGCTTTCCATTGGAAATATTCGGTCGTCGGGCTTCCGCCGCCGAGCGAGGCGGCACTAGCAGCATTTCTGGGGGGGCACCTTCCCCGATCCATGGATTTGGCGACCGCGCGCCAAATACACGGATCGCTGATCGGGGTTTGCGCGAAGTCCCCCAGCCTTCTGAGACGTTCCCTAAGCTGAAGTCGGGCCTGTCCCTCCACAGGAGGAAAATCCCAAAATAGTCCAAACATAGTATGGGGACGTTTGTTTTAATTAATTTTTCGCTACTTGAGCATTTTCGGTTATTTCCTATTTTTCGCCCAAAATCCGCCTGTAGGGGGACACGCCCGACTTAACCCTGAGCCTTCCCTGAATTCACAGAGGAACTCATCAGAAGGCCGGAGGGCTTCTGAGAAGCCCCGCCGCCTTTGAGGATACCTTCTCCTTCTCACTTCCCCCCTCGCTCGCCGCCGAAAGGCGAAGCCTCATTTTTAAAACGACCTCCCTCCATCATTGAAATCGATGAGAGCTCTTCAGACGAATGCGCGCGGCGCTCAGGCGAAAACCCCATTCTGATAGCGACCCCCCTCTATCACTGGAACGACTGCAGACGTTCAAAACGAACGTGCGCGGCGCTGCGGCGGAGCCCCCCGTCTGAAGACGGCCCCTCTTTCCAGCAGTGCCACTGCTGCAGGCTTCTAGGACGAGTGTGCGCGGCGCCCGGAGGAGAGCCCCATTTTGACGAGGCGCCACCACCTGCCCAGTACAGTAGGGGTATTGAAGAAGGAACCCTTTTCGTTGGGGAGGGGCTCCGTGTTCCTTGATTGGTTCACAGCTTGCCTTAGGTTTTCCCAAGGTTTTCGATGGGGAATCGAAGTTTAACTTCTGGAGAAAAGGGGCCTCGTTCCTTATTTAGGGTTCCTTAGGTCAACGCCCCTTCTGCACCCCTGCCCCGCGGACCGATGTCGACTTTCACGACCATGAGTGGCGAGCAGGCCTCGGGCGAAACGCCTGGCTCGCCCTGCCGACACGTCTCGGAGTGCGGAAGGAGGCGCTGCGTACGACGAGCAGGGGTGGAAGATAGCGACGAGGAGGGGGAGGGAGGAGGAGGAGAAGGAGGAGGAGGAGGAGGAGGTTCAGGAAGAAGGTAGCGACGAGGAGGAGGAAAGAATGAGAGCGAGGAGAAGGAGGCCGAGGAGGCCCCCTCGAGGAGTCCCAGTCGACGGAGACCGAGATAGAGCTCACAGAGGGCATGAGCCTTGACAAGGGCTACGTGTCCCCGTACCTCGTCCTGGACGCCGCCAACCCGGCGGCGAAGCAGTGGGAGGCCAGCGGCGCGCTGGTCTTGGTCACGGATCAGAAGTTGTCCTTCGCGCAGAAGGAGCTCATCCCCATCCTCACGCTCGCGAAGCAAACCGCCAAGCCCCTGCTGATCATCGCGGACACGATCGAGAAGGAGGTATTGATGAATGATGCTCTTCCCCCTCCTCCTCCGTCTCCTCCTCCATCTCCTCCTTCTCCTCCTCCTCCTCCTCCTCCGCCTCGTGTTCCTCCCCTGTGGCATTGCCGCTTCTCCTTCCCATCCTCCTGCCAGTCCTCCCTAGTGTTTCTAGTCATCTTCCTCCCGCGGCCACCTCCCCTCCTTTCCCCCTCGCTCGTGCACCCTCCGCCCTCCCTGCCCGTTTCTCCTCCTCCTCCTCCGTCTCCTCCTCCTCATCCTGCTCCTCCTCTCCTCCTCATCTTCCTGCTCCTCCTTTCCTCCTCCTCCTCCTCCTCCTCCTCCTTATCCTGCTGCTCCTCCTCCTTCTCCTCCTCTCCCCCATCATCGTCCGTTTCCTCCTCATCCTCCTCCTCATCATCATCGTCATCATCGTCATCATCGTCATCATCGTCATCATCACCAGCGTCATCAACATCATCACCAGCATCATCATCGTCATCAGCATTGTCATCGTCAACACCATCAACACCATCATCACCATCATCCTCATTGTCATCGTCATCATCATCATCATCATCATCATCATCATCATCATCATCATCATCATCATCATCAGTATCATCACCATCACCCTCATCCTCATCACCCTCATCCTCATCAACATCATCAGCAGCAACATTATCATCATCATTGTCGTCAACATCATTGCCAGCATCATCACCGTCACCATCATCGTCATCATCAACACCATCATCACCATCATCCTCCTCATCATTATCATCACCCGCATCCTCATCCTCATCCTCATCTTCATCACCATCATCCTCGTCATCATGATGAGCAGCAGCAGCAGCAGCAATATCATCATCACCGTTCTCCTCCTCCTCCTCCTCCTCTGGCTCAAGGTCGTCTTGGCTCAAGTTGTGCATAGCCTTCGCAAGTTTTGCATGGCCATGGCTTTCCTTGGAACGGTCCCGCCGTACGCCGCCGCTCTTCAGCCCGTCGACCTCGTGTCCAGGATGTGCCCAAGCTGTCAAGACCGCAAAAAAGACGTCTCAGGTTTGAACGTGCAGCTGTTCGTCGAGCGAGCTACGATACGAATTCCCTCGCGACTGGAACTCATTCTCTGGAGCATTAAAACAATGATCTAATGAACGACAAGCTTGACGGTATTTTTCAAATGCTCGGGGAGGTTGCACAGGCAGTGCAGTCCATACAATTGTTTGCAGGAGCTCATCACACAAGCTGCCACCAATAAAATGGTGCAGCTTTCAAGTCACATGCCGAAGTTCCAGAACACTATGATACCACATACTTGCCATATGGAACGGACCAGGTGTGCGGGAGCCATTGGAGCCCGAGCATAACCAGCAGCACGAGCACAACTCATTAGGGAAGAAACGCATCGCTGCATCACGTATTCATGCACTGTGGCGGGGAACGCACCACCGCAGGCGGGGGCGAGACCGCAGGGCCATGAAACCGGAAGCCGAAACGAGCAATCATCTCCAATCGATTCCTGCAAAGTGGGCACAGGGTTGCCCTCGAGGCAACCAGCGGAATATCAAGTATGGTGGTCGTCGTCTCCCCATGCAGCTCGCATACGATGTTGTGACTCACGTGGCTTGACATGCGAGACAAGCGAGCACACTTCCATGGGCCTATGTTCCACCACCGCCACCATAAGTCGGAGGGGGCAGGAGGTGGAGGACGAGGAGGAGGAAGACGAAGAGGAGGAGGAGGAGGAGGAGGACCTCTTCACCCCTCCAACTTATGGTGGTGGTGGTGGTGGAAAACAGGCCCATCACACTTCGACAACACCTTGCTGTATGAGGAGCCGCTGTTGTCGTGACTACCACGGCTGCGCATCTTGCGCGGAAGGTGTCGAAGCGAGGCGGACGTATCCAAACAGTGGGTTCCTGACGCAATGTTCGTTGGCGCCGCGGCAGAAAAAACCGGCTGGATTCCGGGCATTTCGCGCACGCGTACCTCCAGCCGCCCCGGCATTTCAAGGACTACCGCCAGGGCCTCACGGCCGGTGCCGCCGACCCCGGACGACGACCCCCACGATGGAAGAGGCACGTGGGCAGGCCAGGGCCTGACCCTCACCCGCGTGTGCCCGTGGGGCCTCTTGGGAGCTTTCCGGGTACCTCTTCGGGCCTGCCGGGGGCCGCCCCAGCATGTCAAGGACTGCGTCATGTGAGGCTACGGCCTCCCGCGCCAGGCCGGGGGGCGGCCCGACCCGCCCCCGCTTGCTGGACGTCTCCGGACGTCTCCGCGCGTCCGTCCGCCCTTCCGTCCTCATCCTTCCCCTCCTCCTCCTCCTCCTCCTCCTCCTCCTTATCCTCCTCCTCCTCCTTCTCCTCCTCCTTATCCTTCTCCTCCTCCTCCTCCTCCTTCTTCTCCTCCTCCTCCTCCTCCTCCTCCTCCTCCTCCTCCTCCTCCTCCTCCTCCTCCTCCTCCTCCCCCTCTTCCTCCTTCCCGTCTTCGTCCTCATCCTCCTCCTCCTCCTGCTCTTCCTTCTCCTCCTCGACCTCCCCCTCCTCGAGATCTCCTCCTTCCCCCCCCCCTTTGTCTCGCCACCGTCCTCATTCGTGCCACGAGCCGCTGCCGAGGTGCTAGCGACTCTCATCCTCAACAAGCTCAGGGGCATCGTGGACTGCTGCGCCATCCAGGCCCCAGGTTTCGGGGACAACCGCAAGGCGATTCTGCAGGATATCGCCCTTGTGACTGGCGCCGCCTGCCTCCTCCTTATCCTCCTCCCTCCCTCCCTCCCTCCCTCCCTCCCTCCCTCCCTCCCTCCCGTCCCTCCCTCCCTCCCCCCTCCCCCTCCGCCTCTCTCCTGGCCTCCTCCTCCTCCTCCTCCTCCTCCTCCTCCTCCTCCTCCTCCTCCTCATTCCCCCTCCTCGTCATTTTCCTCCTCCTCCTCCTCCTCATTTTCCTCCTTTTCCTCCTCGCCCTCCTCGCCTCCTCTCCTCCTCTTCCTCCTCCTCTTCTTCTTCGTTCCCCCTACTCCGTCCCCTTGCTTCGGGGAGGAGGAGGAGGAGGAGGAAGAAGAAGAAGAAGAAGAGGATCGCCTCGGCGGTGTTCTTACGCTTTCGTCGGTTATCGACGGTTTTCCAACCTCGTGATGCGTTCCAGCAACTGTGCCTCGCCAAGAGACTTCTGGAGGTTCCCGGATCGTTCCGAATGGCCGCCATAGGCCCGAAAGCCGAGTGACGTGTGTCATAAAGCACAGGGGTCTGAAGGAAACGGGTCTCCGAGGTGTTGCGCAGTGCTCGGCCCTCGGGTCCCTTGACGGGCCTTGGGCCCTCAAGAGCCGGCTCAGGATGAGAAGCTGGTCCGTGTAGAACGCCAGGGCGTGCAGGACCCATTCCCACATGGCCCGCTTCACGTCAGGGGGCAGGAGAAGGAAGGAGCAAAAGAAGGAGGCAGGAGCAGAGCAAAGAGAAGGAGGAGGAGGACGACGAGGGGAAGGAGACGGAGGAGGAGGAGGAGGAAAGGGAGGAAGAGGAGGGGGAAGAGGAGGATGGAAGAAGAGGGTGTTGGGGAGGGGGAGGAGAAGGAGGAGAAGGGGAGTGGGGATAGGGGGAGGAGGAGGAGGAGGAAGAGGATGAGGAGTAGGAGGAGGATGATAGGAGGGAGAGGAGGAGGGGAGGAAGGACGAGAGGGAGGAGGAGGAGGAGGAGTAGGAGGAGGAGAGGAGGAATGAGGAGGATGAGGAGGTGAGGAGGGTGAGGGAACAGACCTCATTACAGTATAAAACACAGTCCATGACGGTGTCCTTGAGTTCCCACCCCCTCACAACCGGAATTAGGAGGGGAAGATTGAGTATGATGAACCAGAGGGAGACTCAGTTTAAGGTCGGCGGTAGGATTATGGCTGCTGGCTTCTGTATCATTAGTTTTACCGGTACACGTCTGAGGATTATTAGAACTTTAGGGCCCGCGAACCTGGCTCCCTGGCTCCCTTTGCCGTCTGATGCTGCCCCTCACTCCACTCCTTCTGTCTCCCTTTTTTCAATATCCTCCTCTCTCTCCCCCTCCAACCCTTCCTCCGCCTCCATCCCTCCGCCTCCTCCTCCCCCCCACGTCCCGACCCTCCTACCTCCTCCTCCTCCTGCCTCCTTCTCCTCCTCCTCCGTCCTCCTCCTCCTCTTTATTTATCCTCTCTCCTGGCCTCTCCTCCTCCTCCTTTCCTCCTCCTCATGGCTCTTCCTCCCGCTCCTAACTCCTGCTTGAACTTACACGTCTTCCCCCCTCCTCCTCTTTGTTGTTTTTTTCCTCCTCTTTCCTCCTCCTCCTCCTCCTCCTCATGCTATTCCTCCCCTTCTGTCTCCGCCTCCTCCTCCTCCTCCTCCTCCTCCTTCTCCTCCTCACTCTCCTCCTCCTCCTCCTCCTCCTCCTCCTCCTTCATCTCCCCTTCTTCCTCCGAACCTCGGCACCTCCTTTCCATCCCCTCCTGCTGTTTTTCTGCCTTCTCGTCCTATCCTTCTCCTCCGCCTCATCCTTCTCCTCCTCGGCCTCCTCCTCCTCCTCCTCGACCCCCCCCTGCTTGGATTGCAGGGGCCCCGTCGTTGTTTCGGAAACAGCCGGGGCTCCCCCACTGGTGGAACCAGTGGTGCGGTCGGCGCCGCTCGAATTGGCGGGGTAGAAACATCGTTCTCAGCGGCGTGCGGCCCGCGGCGGCGCGCGGAGCGCCGTGCCGCCGTGAGACACGCGGCGGTTGATTTGTTCGGTTGCCTGCAGTTTTGTTGCAGCGCCGTGTCTCCCAGGAGAGGCCCTGGGGATAGCGGTGCTTCCTTTTCGTCG